CCCACCCACCCACCAGTGCACAAACTGGGTGAGCGATGAGTAACTGGGCAGCTCCTGAAGGAGCAGGATGACTTTGTGCTTGTTACTGGGCTGGTGACAGGGCCTGACTGCTTGGAGTTCTTTAGGCTCAGAAATAGCAAGAAAGGAGGTGTTCAGTCTTTCAAAAGAAAATACCTTGTAAGAAAATCTCTCTGGATATGGAAGTTAATATAACACGAAGAAAGACAGAGCTTATGGACATTCACACTTTACTTTTATCTGCTAATTACCTCCCCATCTGTCCTTCTCCCCGGCTATGCTGCACAGTCACAGGTCTAATATCCCTGAGCCCTTTCATTGTGTGTTGTGAGGTAACAACGTGTCCCCCCCATTCCTGGAGTATCTGACTGTTCCACAGAGGTCAACACAGTATCACGTGCTTTAAAATTCTTAATTATTTATTTAGTCAGATCTGTGGGACACGGAACTGCTCTATTTCCTGTATACCTCCCCATCTGTCCTTCTCCCCGGCTATGCTGCACAGTCACAGTTCCAATATCCCTGAGCCCTTTCATTGTGTGTTGTGAGGTAACAACGTGTCCCCCCCATTCCTGGAGTATCTGACTGTTCCACAGAGGTCAACACAGTATCACGTGCTTTAAAATTCTTAATTATTTATTTAGGCAGATCTGTGGGACACGGAACTGCTCTATTTCCTGTATTTCAAGGGCGAGAAGTGAATCACACAGATACTTGCTTCTCCCACACCCGCACTGGGTGTCTGTTGCAGGGAATTAAACCTTGACTTTCCAAATTCCTGAACAAGTGCCTGCAATTACTGCGCCCCTCTTCTCCCCTCCCTCCAACCCAGCAGCAGTGAATATAGCCCCTTTCTGCCTCAGGTGTCTCTAAAGATTACCCCGAGAAGCCTCCGTAGCCTGATCTACCAGCACAAATAACCTCACAAGATTATTTCTAATGTCAAGAAATAGTGTTTCTGGTCTCTCTAGTAGCTACAGGTTTCAAATAGATTTTTTTCCTCCCAACTATGGATTAAAGTATGAAAAAACCCCATACATAACCAAGTTTGCACTTTTTTAAAATAGATTGACTTCAGATAAATGCAGAAAAGAAAGGAGAAGCTAAATTGTAATGAGAATAAGGACTGGGGTGGCTTTATGTATTTTTTTTTTCAGAAAAAAAAGATTAAAATTAGAAAATGAGCCCACTGCACGGGCTGTAACAATTTGTTACAGAACAAGGACTGGAGAACGTGGAGTTTCCACAACATAAGGGGTATCCACTCCTTGAAATATCTCTGTTGAAATGCGCAGGGTGGACGGGAGGATACAATCCCTGTGACTTTCATTCACCTCACAATTCATTGAATTTAAGGAGCTGAGCCTATGGAAATTAGAAAATGAGCCCACTGCACAGGCTGTAACAATTTGTTACAGAACAAAGACTGGAGAACGTGGAGTTTCCACAACATAAGGGGTATGTACTCCTTGAAATGCGCAGGGTGGACGGGAGGATACAATCCCTGTGACTTTCAGTCGCCTCACAATTCATTGAATTTAAGGAACTGAGCCTGAAAAGCCCACGTGTAAAGGATGTAATCACAATATTATGCTCTGAGGTGTTTTTCTTCATATTGAACAGTCGAATGACATTTTCTTTTCCAGCAAATAAAGCCTGAATAGAAGCCAGTTTGATCCTTCCACCTCCAAGGAAGTGACTCTGCCCGAGGCGCTCTGCAGCCTCTCTGTCTCTGTCCTTTTACCCCAGACTCTATTTTTAGGGGGACCTTATGGCGTCATTGAAAATGTGACCATTATCTTTCAACCAACACAACTGAACAAAGAGAAAGAGACACTTCTGACCTGGTAAGACACCCCCATTCCTCCTGCTGTCGGCTGTTGCCACACAGCACACACAGAACACTGGGGAAAGTGGAACCCCAATTCTAAGAAAAAATCTTATCCCAAGAGCACCAACGTCCCTTTTCTCTGTTTTTTAGATATTTCACCATTATAGCAGCTGAGAATCACTGCAGCTGGCTTAAAAGAATAAAATAAAATTGAAGGAGCTTCTCCAGTAACTTGCATCCAAGCAGTTCAAGGATGAACTGATCGAATGCAGGCTCTTTTTGCCCCAAGATGCTCAACGGTGCTATTGAGCCCACTGGGCAGACAGGAGAAGATGGTTCATGGACAGACAAACTGACCTGCCCAGTACCAGCTGCCAGTGAAGTGCCAGAGCTTACCCCAGTTGTCCCAGTAGCTCTCCTGACCTCCAACCGAATAGAAAGTGGGAGATTCTTATAGAAAAGAGTGCGGAGATTTGTCTAAGAATGTGGCTCCAAACCTCAGTTTGCCTTTTCCAGAGTCTGTAAATAATTGGGCTGGAACCTTCCAGAGGTGGAGAATTTTCTCTTATGGGAACCAGAAATGGCCCAACTGAGTAACAGCAATGGGGAAAAGAACTAACCCCCCCCAGAAGTGAAATGACTGCCCCAACACAAACACAGCCAGACACACTTCCCACATACCACGGAAGATACTGGTTTCTTGGGTTGGTCAGAGAATTGGTGAGAGAAGCCAGTTTTGTTTCCCTCTGCTATAAATCCAAGGTAATTGTCTACTTAAAAGTAAAAGGGTGCAGCAGGAAGGACCTGCTTGACCCCTGAAAGTCAGATACAGTTTTGTTTCCCTCTGAGCTACTCTGCTATAAATCCAAGGTAGTTGTCTACTTGAAAGTAAAAGGGTGCAGCATGAAGGACCTGCTTGACCCCTGAAAGTCAGATGGGAGCATTTGGGGACAGTTTCTGCCAATTCTCTATTGGTTCCTGAAACTCTCAGGTCAAAACCAAAGGAGGCACACACCATATAAAAGTTGGTGTGCTACTCCCAGCCAGCCCGGGCTAATGCACAAAGGAGGACTCCAGGCACCTTTTTGACCGATGCGGCAGGACATTGGTCAAAAAATGACTCACACTTTTACCTCCCAGAGCCATAAACACCCCTAGGGATTCCCAGTGCATGAAAAAATGCCTGTGCCCCCCCCAAGGGCTGAACATGCCACTTCATCGTCTGGAGACTACGCTGCAAGGGCTCTCTAAACCCTAAGCTGGCTAAGAAGTATCCTAATTATAAAAGAATTTAATCTTTGACTCTAGGTGAGGATTATGGAGTGACTCCCTGCGTTTCAGGGCTGCTTGCTGCCCAGCCTCCCCCTGCCCACTGCATCCCAGTGATCTCCACTCATCCGGGATCTGAGCAGTTCATTGTTTTCCATGTCTTTTCCTGCCTAACACCTGTGCCAGATCCGACAGGGCTTTTGCCCCAGATCAACACCCAATGCCCAGCTTCCCACAGAGTTCCCCGAGTCAGATGACAGCAAATCTCAGCAGGTTTGGGCACAGAACCCTGGCGTGCAGCTGACCTGCTGCCTCAGCTGCTTGCCCCCCCTCACCCTTTGCAACCAGAAAAGGAAAGAAGCGAAGTGGGAAAAAGAAGCAAAACCAGGCAACTTACTGGCTAAGAGCGGCTCTGCATCAGTCTTGTGCCTTGGCACTTCGGGGACGCTGGAGGGTGACAGGGCTGAGAGGTAGGTAAAACAGCTGCTGGGAAAGTGCCCGGTCCATGCCATCACCAGAGAGCGGGGCTCGTCTTCGGATCCCTGGGCTGGCCCCGTCCTTCTTCCCTCTGCCTGTTCGGAGAAAACATCGACGTGGCGCTGAAGGTTGAACCACACACGCCCCTGTCCCCGGGTAGACCTGATGTCCCTCGCTGGCGGAGCCGACACGGGGAGCTCCCAACCCTCGCCCTCCTCCGCCGCAGAGCTACTTTTGCCTCCCAAAAGCCTGCCTTTCCTGGCTCCCCCTCTCCCCCTCGCCAACGGACTCCCGGTGGGCTATGGCTTGGGAGAGGGCTGGGGGGGAGCGGAGAGGAGGGCGTGCGATGGGGAGCATCGTCTCTTCTGAATGAGCAGCCGGAGGGAAAGGTGGCGGGAGCGAAGGCGAAGAGGGGAGGGGTTTCGGGAGCTGCTCTGCACAGCAAGGGCTGGCTGAGGAGGGGGAGAGAGGCGTTTTTCTCCCCCCCTGGGACAGCCCCAGGCTCCCCGGTCACCCCACAGAGCTTTGCCCTCCCAACCACCTCCCCAAGCGTGGGGCGTTCGCTTCTCCTCCCCCCTTACCCGGCTTCTCCGCTCCCCCGTTACTTGGAGGGGGATGTCAGGGGTTTTTTTAGGAGCTGTGGTCTTGTTTTAAAATCACTCAAGCAGAAAGCAGATCCTAAAAAATAGGGGAGGACGGGGAGAAGGCAGAAAGCACACACATAAACATTTGTCGGTGCCCTGGAATCCCTCTTCCAGGCTGGACCAAGGAATTTGGGCAAAGTGGGGAGAAGGAGGGAGAGCGTGATTCCTCTGATGCTCTTCCAACCATCGAGCTGCTGAAACGGTGTTTGCTGCCCGAGTTGTGCTGTTTGCTGAGATCCAGCTACTCCCAGGGAATGCTCTCAAAGCCCTTCAGTGCTTTGCTCTATTTTTTTTTTTGTCTTTCTCTTTTTTTTTTTTTTCAATCATTGATAATACCACACTCTCTCCCTCGCTTAGTAAAATATTTCCTCTTCTGAAAAGCAAATGTCAGGCCAGCTGCATATATGAGATAGACCTGCCTGGAGACCACAGGTTACCTTGCCCTGTTCCCCTGATCCTGTCCTCCTGTGCCCCTTAATTCTCTGTTCCAGGACCACACACATCACAGCCCATCAGAAATGCTTTCACAGAAGATTTTTCCAGTCAGGGAAAGAAAACTTGTCAAAGCCAAAGCACTGTACGGGAATGTGTCAGTATTGCTGGAAACTGAAAGCTATTTTGTCCATGTTCTGCTCTGAATGACTTTCAATTTTATTTTTTTTTTAATTTTTTTTTAAAGTTACACTATCGCTAATGAAAAACGTCAGCATTGGAAGGACATTTTTGTTTTACTGTATGGACATTTTGCAACTTATCATTTGCATCCTTGTTCTGGAACGGGGAAAAAAAATTGAACTCCTGGAACTTTCTGTAGATCAGAAAATCAGATTCCTGACTATCTTCAATCTGGGCTACAGAACACCTTATTATGGAAGCTCGACTGGAAAAATTCATACAGCCATGCTAAAGAAAGGGAAATAACCCCAGCTTTGAATACCACTAATAGGCACATTGCACAGTGGACTGGGTTAAAGCACATCTCTATAGTCACAGCACCTTTTACCAGTGCTCTTGTTCTCTGATCAACCCAGAGGTTGGCTCTGGCCAGATGGGATCGGAACCTGGAGCTGGATGTGGAGGTTGGCTTGGCCAGATGGGATCGGAACCTGGAGCTGGACCAAGGACTTAGGCCATTTAAAATTAGTTTTGCAGATGCAATTTTGTTGTTAAGTTTATATTCCCCACTTCACCACGGTATGGCCATCGAGATCAGAGCAGCCAGTTTGGCTCCTGGATCAGGTGCTTTAGACCCATTTAGGTTGCAAACAGCACAGGGGACTAAATTCAAATCAGCAGCGAAACTCTTTCCAGTGGAAGTAAAAGGCACGGTAATAAAGTGTTGATTAAATCCTGTGAAATTATGCTAGATCTTCTGCCTGCTCGTAACTGTTAGGAATGCTCTTTTCAGCAATATTTATTTTACCTTTTAGGAGTATGGCTGTGATACATGAAGCGTCCTTATAAAAGTGCTATTTGGGGAGTACATTAACAGTTTTGGTTTTTTAAATAAGCATTTAAACTTACTTAAAATGTACTGAACAGTAATTCATACAGCAGGAGAGCCAGTCCCCCCTAAAATCATAACGTTGGCTTCTGGAGCAGGTGAAGTCCCTGGATGCTGCTCCACCAGCCCTAAGGACAGTGTCACCTTCACAAAGGCCTCAGCTCCGCTCCTTCTTTCCTTTAATCTTCTTTTAATAAGATTTAGAATGAATTTTGGTGCTGGGAAAAGCTGTCCAGCCAGCAGCTCTAGAGGAACAGAGCCTCTGTGCTAGTCTGCAAAGCTTGGGTGAGATGGCCAGAGTCAGGAGAAGCCTTCTGCCCACCTCCCTCACACCCCGACCCCGACCATCTCAGTCGTGACCCCAGTCCGTAACTGGGCAGGGGTCTCCCTCCAGCTCAGAGGAGTGGGATCACAGGATGGTCATTTTTTTGCCCACCTTGCAAGGCTCTCCTGGGAGGAACGGCGCTGTGCTTCACGCCAAGTAAATCAAAATATTCTGAGCAGACTCCTGTTTTCTCCTGCCAGGAAGCTCTGCTGACAGGCACTGCCATCTGCTGGCACCGCGTCCCTCTGCCTCTTTTCCCTACAAAAAGGGACAAAAGTGGGGCACGGTGAGGGTTTAAAGCAGAGTCTGGATTTTCCCAGCACCCACTAATCCCCGTGCTATCATTCAGCACCTTTCCCCTAATGAGGAGTGTCAGTTAATGAACAGGCATATAATTCTGATGCTCCTCTCTCAGCCACAGCCCCACCAATACTGATATTACACAATATAGTATGTGATAATTTCCCACCACATGCTGTAAGGGCTGCGGTGGCTGCCACAGGACCCCACGTCCCATAAAAAGCACACAAAAGCCATAGAAAAGAGGGCATCGGGACACACACACTTCAATCGACATTACAGGCCTTTTAGGAGCCACTTATTTAATCACAGAATCTTCGTGGTTGGAAGGGACCTTTGTGATCACCGAGTCCAACCACAAAAAAAACCCCCAAAAAACCAAAAATAACCCCCCACAAACATCACACCCACCCACAGACAGATACAACCCAACAATCTCGGGCACTGGAGCATGCCCTGAAGTGCCACGTCTACACGTTTCTTAAATACCTCCAGGGATGGTGACTCCACCACCTCCCTGGGCAGGCTGTTCCAGTGCCTGACCACCCTCTCAGGAAAGTCATTCTTCCCAATATCTCATCTAAACCTCCCCTGCCCCAACTCCAGACCATTTCCTCTGCTCCTGTCATTATTCCCTTGGGAGAAGGGGCCAACCCCCACCTCTCTACACCCTCAAAAGCTGTCCAGCCAGCAGCTCTAGAGGAACAGAGCCTCTGTGCTAGTCTGCAAAGCTTGGGTGAGATGGCCAGAGTCAGGAGAAGCCTTCTGCCCACCTCCCTCACACCCCGACCCCGACCATCTCAGTCGTGACCCCAGTCCGTAACTGGGCAGGGGTCTCCCTCCAGCTCAGAGGAGTGGGATCACAGGATGGTCATTTTTTGCCCACCTTGCAAGGCTCTCCTGGGAGGAACGGCGCTGTGCTTCACGCCAAGTAAATCAAAATATTCTGAGCAGACTCCTGTTTTCTCCTGCCATGAAGCTCTGCTGACAGGCACTGCCATCTGCTGGCACCGCGTCCCTCCACCGTTTTTCCCTACAAAAAAGGACAAAAGAGGGGCACGGTGAGGGTTTAAAGCAGAGTCTGGATTTTCCCAGCACCCACTAATCCCCGTGCTATCATTCAGCACCTTTCCCCTAATGAGGAGTGCCTCTTTTCCCTACAAAAAGGGACAAAAGTGGGGCACGGTGAGGGTTTAAAGCAGAGTCTTAAAGCAGAGTCCCAGCACCCACTAATCCCCGTGCTATCATTCAGCTGGTAAGAGAGACACCTTTCCCCTAATGAGGAGTGTCAGTTAATGAACAGGCATATAATTCTGATGCTCCTCTCTCAGCCACAGCCCCACCAATACTGATATTACACAATATAGTATGTGATAATTTCCCACCACATGCTGTAAGGGCTGCGGTGGCTGCCACAGGACCCCACGTCCCATAAAAAGCACACAAAAGCCATAGAAAAGAGGGCATCGGGACACACACACTTCAATCGACATTACAGGCCTTTTAGGAGCCACTTATTTAATCACAGAATCTTCGTGGTTGGAAGGGACCTTTGTGATCACCGAGTCCAACCACAAAAAAAACCCCCAAAAAACCAAAAATAACCCCCCACAAACATCACACCCACCCACAGACAGATACAACCCAACAATCTCGGGCACTGGAGCATGCCCTGAAGTGCCACGTCTACACGTTTCTTAAATACCTCCAGGGATGGTGACTCCACCACCTCCCTGGGCAGGCTGTTCCAGTGCCTGACCACCCTCTCAGGAAAGTCATTCTTCCCAATATCTCATCTAAACCTCCCCTGCCCCAACTCCAGACCATTTCCTCTGCTCCTGTCATTATTCCCTTGGGAGAAGGGGCCAACCCCCACCTCTCTACACCCTCCTTTCAGGGAGTTGTAGAGGGCAATGAGGTCTCCCTCATTGACCCATGAGGTCAGCTGGAAACTACACGTCAGTGACATCAATGTGTCCTTACGAAGGCGGCTAAAAAGCTGTCAGTGGCCTCAGGAGTTTGAAATATGTTGAAGAACTCCGGGTACCAGCTTGCTGCAGAAGGGCAGGTTTAACCCAGAGCGGTGGGTTGGGTCCACTCGCTGGCAGCATTGCTTCTCCGAGTCAGTAATAACACCCCCAAGTTCTCTCAGTGTTTGGGAAGGGATTCATTTTCAGTAATGCCATTTGGGATGCGCTGGTGTGAGTCCGAACAGCCGTGCCATCTCCTTTCCAAGCGAGGCAGAGAGAGGTGGTATCAGAAGGCAGCTAAATGAGGCCCTTTTGTTAGAATGGGATGAACGATCCAATTGTAGGAGTGTGTGGATGCAAATTTCACTTCAGTGCAACACCCTGATTTTCCCCGGGGTGCTCACAAGCTCTGACTCCACCAGGCTCCACCTTTCAAAGGACGTACGGGGCCATTTACAGGGACAGAATTATGGCAGCTGTGGAATGCTCAGCTCCTGGAATTTCAAACGGAACAACAAGATGCAGAAGAACAAACTTTAATCTCATTTTGGTATAACTAAATAGCTCTCTGAGGGTATTATGCGTACAAAAGGCTGTCATAAAACAAACAGTTTGGATTTTTGCTGGTTCCTGGAGGATGCAGCAGAGCAGTCCAATTTTTGAGCTGTCATGAACCAAACGGGGAGTAACCTCCGTTTCCCCGAGGTTTCCCCACACATGAATGAGCCGCCCCCTCCTCCA